ATGTGATTGTATCTGGCTGGGATACACACCTTCTCCAGCAATCATTAAATCCAATGAAATGCCAGTCTCAGGATCTTGACAGTTTTCTGAAACAATCTGTGAACCGTGCTGTATCTTGGAGTATCTAATCAATTTAGAGCCGCCTCATTAGGACTTGGCTGCTAACGGATACTTAAAAATCAAAGCAAATTACTGCACTCCATGGATAACTAGCTAATCATATCGATACAACATGGCTGGATTGTGTTGCAACAATTCATTTCCTCTTTAAGAAGCCACTGTCACCCATAATTTAGGGATTGAGATTCATAAGCCTGACACAGACAGCTCCAATGTCAAGGATTTTCCTGAGCTCAGCACCAACGGGTACATGCCACCCCAGCCAGTGAGGGTGAGCTAAAGCCAGCCTCAGTCTCCTTTTATTTATACCCTACCTGCCCCCCAAGTTCATTCCTGAATAATGAATCCAAGACTGCTATTGAACAAAAAAGGAATTGGAAACTTAGAGACGAACAGAATATTTCCTAAGGTCACACAGCATATTAGTGGCACAGCCAGGATTTGGCTCTTCTCAACATCAAATTTTCCAATATCACTTTAATAGGCATTTAGAACTGTGATTTTTCCTTCATTGGCAGTTTACTTTTGTCCTTCTTTAATAGCCTGACTATTTATTAATAAACAGTACCACCATCATTATTATTGTAATGTGAACAGCCTATATTTACATAGAACTTATTATAAATTGAATTCCTTTCATTCTCTCAACACCTCTAGAAATACGTTATATGATTATTTGTCATCATTTAATCACTAAGTCCTGTCTGACTCTTTCCAACTCCCTGGACTGTAGCCCACCAGGCTCCTCTGTCCATGGGATTACCCAGGCAAGAATACTTGAGTGGGTCGTCATTTCCTTCTCCAGGGGATCTTCCCAACTCAGGGATCGAACCTGGGTCTCCTACGTGGCAGGTGGATTCTTTAACCACCGAGCCACCTAGGAAGCCCTCTGTGATTACTGACTTGGCATTAATGCTATTCACCAAGTATTTCTGGCTTTCTCTCTCCAGAACACATGGATTGCTCTTCCTTTAATTGGAAGGATCAGGAGACTCTATCTGGCCATTGAGTATGAACGGGGAGACATGTGTTATTTACAGCCAGAGCACGATTGCTGGTTCAGGATCTCTATCATTCTTTTTCCCTCCCATTATCACCCAGCAACACTTGGGTTGGTAGCCACTCTGAGCAAAATGAGCAGAAACTCCTTCATGACTCACAGTGGACTTGTAGTATAAGTGAGAAACACACCTGTGTTGTTGGCAGCCACTGAGCTTTGGGGTTGCTTGTTAATGCAAGATAACCAAACTTGTCCTGCTTCGTGGAGTTATCATCCCCATTTTACAGATGAGAAAGCTAAGGCACAAAAAGATTTGATGGCTAATACTAAGTCCAGTTCAGGCACTAGCAGTACATTTCTAAAGCCCAGAGATCTCCTTGGCTCCTTTTCCATTTCCCCGTTTCTCTCCTTGTCTCGTGGCAAGTCCTTGGTAACTACTTCTGGGCCTTCAGGGCTGACAGTAAGCAGCGGGTGCCAAATCTCAGTTTAGAGACGCAAGTCTGACTTATCCAGACCACTCAACACTGTTGCTCAGATCAGGGCTGAGCAGATCTACTTTTTTTTTTTTTAATTGAATTGTAGTTGATTTACAATATTTTGTGAAGTTTAGGTTTATATGCACAGCCAAGTGATTTAGTTATAAACACACACATATATATTTATATATTCTTTTTTCAGATTATTTTCCATTATAGGTTGTAACAAGATACTGAATATAGTTCCCTTTGCTATATAGTAGGTCCTTGTTGGTTAAATACTTTATATATAGTACTGTGTATATGTTAATCCCAAACTCCTAATTTCCACCACCCCCCCATCCCTCTTGGTAACCATAAATTTTCTATGCCTGTGAGTTTATTTCTGTTTTGTAAATAAGTTCATGTGTCTGTTTTAGTTTCCACATGTAAGTGATATATGATATTTGTCTTTTGACTTACTTCACTTAATATGATAATTTCTAGGTCCATCAATGTTGCTGCAAAATGGCATTATTTCTTTCCTCTTTATGGCTGAGAAATATTCCATTGTATATGTGTACCACATCTTCTTTATCTATTCCTCTTCAATGGACATTTAAGTTGCTTCCATATTTTGACTATTGTAAATAGTGATACTAAGAGCTTTGGGGTTCATGTGTCTTTTAAATTATTTTAGTTTCCTCCAGCTACTTGCCCAGGAGTGGGGTTGCTGGATCATATCATAACTCTATGTTTAGTCTTTTAAGGAACCTCTAAACTGTTTTCCATAGTAGTTGTACCAACTTACATTCCCACCAACCGTGTAGGAGGATTCCCTCTTCTCCACACCCTTGCCAGCATTTATCTACTTTTGAATATGTTCTGTTTTAGGCATCTGAACCATTGACTTTCTCTGAAGAAGTCCTTTTGGTATCCTCTAGTGATAAACATTATCTAGCAGGTACTTTATGAGAGCCATCTTTACCAAAGGATTGAGTCTCTGATGGAGATATTCCAGGCACCGTGAAGGTCTGGGTAGAGATCATTAACCAGGGATTTTTCTGCACTGTCTCTCCCCGACCCTTACACCCTTACCCTCAGCTGCAGCCATGGATCTGAGTTGTGGGCAAAGAAGACCCTGCATTTCTATTCCCTGGATCATGCCTCGCCACTGCCCTTGAAAGAGAAGTTTATGGGATAGGACTGGAGGGAGGGAGCTTGAACCCCCAGCTCTAGAAGAGGGAGATGAGGGAAAAGTTTGCAAAAATTGTATACAGCTTCAGGAAATGTCTGCCCTCCACCAGCCATATCTGCGTCGGTTAAGACAGTAATTGCAGACCTTCCCCGACACAGAGAGAGGGCAGGATGGCAGGGGCTGCTATTATCATGTTCTCTCAGGCACAACAGCTTGTTTAGGGAGGGCTGTGGACGGCGGGGTGATTGTCTGGTGGCTCCAGGGGCAAGGGCTGCTGCCCCAACCCCTGCTTTTTCTTGGGCCCATGCCAGGAATCCTGGTGACCAGTCCTGGGAGTGTGCCTTGCCAGGATGCTCGGCTGGGGGAGGGGGAGGGAGGGTTCCTGGGGTGCAGAGTTTTCATGCGTGCATGTGTGCCCAGTTCAGTTGTGTTCGACTCTTTGCGACCCCATGGACTGCAGCCTGGAGGCTCCTCTGCCCTTGGGATTTTCCAGACAAGAATACCGGAGTAGGTTGCCATTTCCCCCTCCAGGGGTTCCTCCCAACACAGGGCTTGAACCCACCTCTCCTGTGCTTCCTGAATTGCAGGTGGATTCTTTACCACTGAGCCATTGGAGAAGCCCTCAGACCTTTCACTCAATTCTGTTATTAGCTCCCATTCAAGCCTCATCGCCTCCCTACCTGCCACACACAGGCCCAGAGAAGGCCAGCCCAGCTCCAACGGGGCTCCTTCACTGGAAAGCCCTGGGGGCCTAAAGGCACAGAATCTGCCTTCCACTCTGGACTCTGTTACTCTCCCACTGTGGGACCCTGGAGGTTCCATCTCCTGTCACACCCTCCATCTTTCATTTTAAAATGAGTCTCACTGGGTTAGTACTTATATATGTTATGTACCCAATCCTTTCAAAGTGGGGGATTGCTTCTTGTGGATGCTGAGGTTCAGCACAGATTATTTTTATTTTAATATTCCTCTGACATTTATAGGTATGTTGCAAACAACAGAAAACTATGACAGTAATACAAGCAGAAACATATGAATGAAAAACTGTAGAGTGGCTAATAGACTCCTTGAAGACCAGTGTACAAGGATGAAGACCCCATAACATCAAATCAAATGGCAGAACTGGTCCTACAAAGCTTGGGGTGGGAGCCCTGCTGGCATAGATGCCAGAGTTGTCTCTGCATCTTTTCATGTTAAGTTTCTCTCTGTCCCTTTTCTCTTAAGCCCTCAGTGATTACAGTTGTTGATACCGGTGTGAATGTAACCAAAAAAGCAGACATGGCTTTGGAAAGTGTATCACTTCTCAGTTAGAAGGTGGTCACCCCAGTGGCCAGGATATTCTGAGAATAGTAATCAATGTAAAAAACTCTTTACATTCCTAAGTCCTCCATAATCTAAAGGCTTCTCTCACATGTTCCCCCTCCAACTTTATATGGTATATATCAGTCCTGCTGGACAAAATTTCCAGTTTCTCTCCCCTTCCAGGCACAGAGGGATTACATTTTCTTCTCCTTAAAGTTGAGTGTGGCTCTGTGACTTTCCCAGATCAAGAGATGTGGCACTTCTGAGTAGAAGCATTTCAGATTAATTCACAGTTCTCCACTTTCACTTCACCCTGTTATAATGACCAGGGATATTCCAGATAGTGGTGCCACTACCAGCCTAGCTGAATGTAGATCACATGGACTAAGCTCTGTGCCAATGGGATAAACATGAGTATGTGTGAACAAATGCATTTTTCTTATTTCAAAGCACTGAAAATTTGAAGTTGTTTGTTACACAGCATGACCAGTCTGTCCTGACTGATACACTTAGTAAGGTAGGGGTTACAAGTTTTATAATCTCCTTCTTATACAACAAATAACTGTGGCACAGAAAGTTGAGACAACCTTGCTCAAAGTCAGACAGGTAAAAAAATTTTAGGTGTAGAATGGAAATCCCAGTCTAAGTCACTCCAAATCCCAGGCCTCTCTCAGCAGCTCACACAGGGGAGATGACAGAGTCTCTACAAAGACTGATTACAGCCAGTGAGGAAGGCTAATAGAAAACATGGCGTGTCTCAATGGCTGGAGTACGAGTTTTCATAGCCACCTATGTAAAAGACCATGCTGAGTGCCAAGTACATTTCCACTTCAAAGTTTTCCAAGCTTAATAGTGAAGCATTCTGAAGGTTTAAATTTAAAAAAAAAATCATAGTTCTCAAATTCTTTCCAGGGAGGTCGAGAAGATGACAGATGTGTTTGGAGCTGTTGAGCTTCCAATTGAAGAAGCAGTCTCTGGCTGTAAACCTGCTCACAGCAGTGATGTGTGTCGCAGTGTCTGTGGGTGGGCATGCAGTTTGCAGAAGAGAGACTCTACTTTCTGCCTAGAGGGCTCCACCCCACCTTCACTTGAGAAGAAAGCATCCCAACTGGAGGCCTGTGAGACAGGTGACTTAGGAAAACACAAGGGGGTATTGGAAGTTCACTGTCTCTTGCACAGGATGATATTAGGGGGCTGCACCTAGAAATAGGTGGGCTTTACTATTTGTGGTACTATTTGTAAAGAAATGCCTGCCGATGCAGGAGACATAAGAGATGCAGATTCAATCCCTGGGTCCCAGAAAAATCCTGGAGGAGAGCATGACAACCCACATTGGGATGCTTGCCTGGAGAATCCCATGGACAGAGGAGCCTGGTGGGCTACAGTCCATAGGGTCACAAAGAGTCAGACACGACTACAGTGACAGCATGCACGCAAGCACTAGGGTAAAAAGAGAGAGATGCCCTTGAGGGCTTGGTCAGAACAATAACGCTCATGCTCATTCCCTTGTTCTGTGAAGGTCCTTGCAAACCTGGACTTCACCGAGATGACTCCATGCTTCTTTTTCCATCCCACACCACCATGGGTGACCTTTCTCCTCCCGATTATTTTCTTTCTTTTAAAAACGCTTTTTATACATTCCACATCTCTCCATTGGCAGGTATTTTCAAGTTCTGAAGAATGGTAACCATAATCAGTCCTCAAGATACTCTGCTTCCTACAGGACAAAGGGAAAGAGGTCCCATGCTTTCTGTGTCCTTAATAGACCCCTGTGGGGACTCTCTCAGCTCGACCATTGCAAACCTCAAAAGGAAGCTAGGGATGAGGTTAAGTTCACGACTGAGTGTGGATCCCACTTCAGCCTCTGCATCCAAGAGACATGTACCAGTGTTCTTTCTAGCTTACCTGCAAGCCTGGGACACCCTGTCACGATGGGTATTCATCTTCTTTGGAGTCGCTTCTGTTTGCTCCCGTGTGGAGGTGGGGCCATTTTTCCCATTAACATGGCTTTGCTGCTGCCCACGGTAACTCCTACCATTCTTACCCCTCCACCATCATTACTGTGCTAGCATTTCATTTCTCTTTTTCTGTTCCTACTTGACCCTAGCTTCTTTCATAAAGACTATCACATTGACTGTAAAAAGATCTGTCTGTGTGCAACCCAGGAGAGAAGATGCTTTTGATCTTAACTGTCCCCCTGAAAGGGGGCATCGACTCCTGCCATATACACTCTCTTATTCGATTTCCCACCTAATTTGTGATGGTTATATCATAATCCTCATTTTGTGCATTTGCAGAATTCAAGATTCAGAGACATGAAGTCACTTTTTCAAGATCACATAGCAAGTTAGCAAAATTTCAAATCCAGATAGATGGAGTCTATATAATGTAAGGTAATGCCAGGTGTAAAACAGATAAACTTCAAAATCTCGGCAGTTTAACAAAGAGAAAAATCCCTTTCTCACTTCTGTCCAGTATCCTGAAAGGGAATTTCTCTTGCACTCCAGGACTCAGGCACCTTTCTTTTTGTGGTTCTGCCCTTTGCAGTACTTGACTCTCCATGTTACCCCGCGGACCTTTTTAGTCCAGCCAGGTGGAAAGGGAAAGAGCAGAGAGGATGCGCAGAGGGCAGTTTATGGGGGAGTTCTGGGTACCACCCCCCCGCAGGCCGGACTCATTCTCTCCTGTGCTGAACAGGCTCTGAATCCCCTCCAAACAACTCTGTAGGCTGCCGCTACTGACAAATTGAAGTTGCTACCTAAGAAGAAACTCCCCTGCCACCTTGATTCCAAGGGCTCAAGCAACACACTTTTTTTTTTTTTGCTCTCTAGTTTGGAGGTGGGGGCCGGGGTGGGGGTGGGGGGCATGGAGGAAGGGCATCAGAACCATGTCTGAAAAATTTGTAAAAGGTTTTGAAATGAGCTGGAAATAAATGTTTGTGTGTGCTGTTTAGTTCCTCCTTGTGGATGACCTTCACATTTCTTAGTCTTTGAGCTATTTTACATCTCTGAAAGTTGTGGAAAACTAATAAGAATTCAAATGCTTCTTATCCATTGGAATGCAAATGAATTTTGTTTGGTTGCAATGCAATTGATTAATGCTGGCCAGGTGGATTATTTTTGCATCTATTTGTAAATTTATTTCCCCAGTTTCTCAATTGCCTATATATGTGGGTGCTTTGAGTTCTCCTTTGAACAGCTGTAATGTCGAACTTGTTGCCTCATTAATTAATGAATTAAATAAAATCTTTGACACATGTTCACTTTATATTTGTATGTGAATCATAACTTTATTATATATATATATATATATATATATACACATATGTATAGATAGAAAGATAGATAAATCTTTTAACAACTAAAAATCCCCAGGGAGAGAAGGAAAATCCTTTGATACATTTCACTCCCTTGTTATTGCTTTTCAGGTGCCTCAAACTCATTTTAGAAGAGAGTCTGGGGAAGGATTTTTAATTCCATCTTGCAGCTCAGGAAACTGAGACTCATAGAGGGGGACTCAAAGATGCCAGAGATCTCATAACTAGAAATGGTGAGGCTAAGAGTTCAGTTCCACCTGTGTTTGACCCTAAAACCTGTGATCTTAACCACCCTGCCCCATTTCTCAACAACTTCTCCTTGAGGTGAATGGGATATAAACAAGGATAGATATTAACACCTTCCTCATTTTATAAATGATGAAACTCAGGCTCAGAGAAGTTAAATGCACATTCCCTGAGGTGAATGGGATATAAACAAGGGTAGATACTAACATCTTCCTCATTTGATAAATGATGAAACTCAGGCTCAGAGAAGTTAAATGACTCAGAGGTAAATCTGGATCCAGAACCCAAGGCTGAACCTCTGTTTCCTGGGTCATCTTAATATAATCCAAGTGAGTATGCTTTTCTAGCTAGGATGTTCCTTGAACATCTTTTTTTTTTTTTAAGTCAGGGAAGATTACTAGGTGGTTTTGGTTCCTAAAATGCTCTCTGAACCTTTATTCATAGAAGCATAAGTGAGACAGGAACCTGGGCCAAAACAGGCAGCATCTGCTTTGTAGAGCTCAGGCTTGGCCCCTAGAAATGGCCAGCAGCTGCAGAGCTGGCATGGGACGCTCCTCTGGGGCCATGGGAAGGTCATGGTCAGTAGACGCTCCTGCTCAGAGGGCTGTTCTCTGGATTTGCTAAGGCAGAGCAGAGTCAGGACTGGGAGGCTTCCCAAGTGTGGAAGACACTGGCTTAGGGATGAGGCCGATCAGAGTTCAAATCCTGTTTCTGCCACTTATCAGATGTGTGACTTTGAGCATGAAATGTGCGGCACCCTTCTGGACTTCAGTTTCTCCCTCGGTAGGATGGAGATCACCACCCTCATATTCCAGGGGGAGCCCAGTCTAGCCTGCCTTCCACTCAACCAAGTCCCATGCCTGGGGAGTGCTTCTGCCCAGAGTGGATGCTGTTGTTCAATTCACCTACCTTATACGGGCCTGCAGCCTACTGGGCGGTCATGAATGGCTGCTTGGGAGATGGAGTAGGGAAGGGTACTTAGAACTGTCTCACCTTTCCTCATACTTCTTTCCTCTCTCCAATCACCAACCTCCTTCCCTTCTGCAAGATGGCTGCAACTCATCACAGTTGGCTAGTTAAGTTCATTGACATCTGATCACAAAGGGTAAGCAGGTCCATGGAAATATAGCAGAGAGGCCAGGACCAGGCCCCAGGTGCCCAGACCCTCCCACGCCTGGAGTCCGAGCTGGGACCTCTCCCTAATAAAGCTTGTCATGTTGTGCCCTAACCATCTTATTTACCACGTCCCCAAGAAAATCCACCCTAGAGATGCCTGAGGTCTGCCCCTCTGTTCAAGCTGGTTTTGCCGGGCAATTGCATCACCACTGGATCCTTGTTTTCGACTTCTCAGGCCCAGGTCCTGCGGGAACCCTCTGTAAACTTCACCTCTTGTCAATGGTCCCCGTTCAGGAAAATTGGCTCCTTTGACACCGTTTTAGACAAACCATAATGTGTGTGGAGCTGAAAGAGGTTCTATTTACAAGTCTGCAGGAAATAGCCCTGGGCAGAGGATGGTAATTGTAGGGTGAAGGTTCACCAGGGGCGCAGAGGGGAGCGAGGTCCGCCCTGGGGAGAGGGTGCTGTGATGGGTGAGAGAATGCAGGAGCTGCCTCTGTCCCCGTGACCCATGGCAGAGGGGCAGGCCTAGGGCGTGGAGGACGCTCCTTCTGTATCCTCCAGGATCCCTCAGCACCTCTGTGCTTCACACTCTCTGCTGGGGTGCTCTTCCCCCAGGTGTCTGAATGGATCACACACTCACGTCCTTCCCGTCCCACTTCAAACATGAGCTTTCCTGATCTCCATTCCCAGCCCCCTACACAGTCTCACACACACACATGCACACACACACACCACACACATGTATATGTATACACACTGGTGTACACAGAGAGACACACACATATATGCCACACATGCATACCCACACACATAAACACACAAGCATGCATACACACACATGCACACAATGTACACACAGAAACACATGTGCACATGTATATGTGCATACACACATAGAAACACTCTAACACATACATACACAGAGAGAGACACATGCACACACATGTGCATGCATAAACACATATACACATACACACATACACCTACACACATTCAGTTCAGTTCAGTCCAATTGCTCATTCGTGTCCGACTCTTTGCAACACCATGGACTGCAGCACACCAGGCCTTCCTGTCCATCACCAACTCCCAGAGTTTACCCAAACTCATGTCCATTGAGCTGGTGATGCCATCCAACCATCTCATCCTCTGTCGTCCCCTTCTCCTCCTGCCTTCAATCTTTCCCAGCATCAGGGTCTTTTCCAATGAGTCAGCTCTTCGCATATTGGAGTTTCAGCTTCAACATCAGTCCTTCCAATGAATATCCAGCACTGATCTCCTTTAGGATGGACTGGTTGGATCTCCTTGCAGTCCAAGGGATTCTCGAGTCTTCTCCAACAC